ATTAGATATAAGAATCTTAATATTTATAACTTAGGAATTGTTCGAGCTTGTCTTCTTAGTAATATGCAACAAATGTAGCTAAGCCTTAGTTCTCTGTGAGATTCGACTCCGGACTTGTAAACCGGAATATATTTACAACGACCACATGGTCCTTTTTATAAGGCATAGTTGGGCGTGATCAAATTTTGGCGTTATAGCCAGAGAACTAACAGTATAGCTGTAGGTGTACATATTGCTAGGTTTCAAGTTTTAACTTTTATTTTTATTTTTTGTATTTGATTTTTTTTGTTTGTTTTACTTGTTGATTTTAAAAACATTGCATCTTGAAATTATGAGAGTTTGATATGTGTAATTCTACTTTTAATCCTCCTCATGCATATAGTGGAGAAAACCACGCATGGCAAAATTATCAAAATATTTTTGAGAGCGAGTTATATGCACCAACTCAATTTTATGTGTGGAATGTGTGTGATATGTGTGGTGGTCAAGATGGTCACTTTCATGATTGTGCTTATATTTATTATATTCCCCCAACCCCTTACTTTGATGGTTCTTCTTTTTCTTATGAAGCTAATAGGAATAAAGAACCCAGGGATGATGACCCAAAAGAGATCAAGGATATGATAAAGTGCCATGTGGAACAATATGATGAGAAACCATGGCAGATACAAAGGCAAGAGGCAACAATTTACCACTTGGAGGCTCAAGCGAATAAACTAATTGAACCTTGTAAAGCGCAACAAGCTTACATTGTAGATAATAGCCAAGAAGAGCATGAATTGACTGCAGAAATTGCCATTATAATGGAGGTTTTAAAAAAATACGAGAGGTGTTGGTGGAGAAGGCTAGAGTAGAACTTCAACAATCAATCGAACTAGATTTTGAGGATGCCGATGTTGTATAAGAGATACTAGAGTCAACTAAGGACATTGAGGATACATATTTAGCTGACTCTAGTGTCATTGTTATTGAGGGTATTGACAATCTCAATGTTCATGTAGTTGAGCGCATTGGTCCACTCTCCAAGAATTTTCCACATTGTGTTTGGATGATGATATAGAAATAGAGTCATCCAAGCCACTTGAGGAATCAAGGAATAAGGAACAAGATGCCTACATTCTGGAATTCTTCTTGCCAGAAAGTCGGGATTACGCATCTCATCTAAAGGCTAAGAAATACAACATACTATATTATTTTATTGGGCCAGTCAGATTCGTTTCACAACTCCAGGAGTATGATCATAGAGCAGAATCAAAACTTGGGGTCCAATTCATAAGTTCAAAAAGGAGGCAGAAAGTGATTTGCGTCGTGCCACGATATTATATCAAGCGCTTGTTGGGGGTCAATCCAGCTTTACTGCTTTTTTTTATAGTGTCGATTTTTGATTTTCTAGGAGAATGAAAAGCAAAGCTATTTGAAGGATGAAAGAGCAAACCAAATGGTTAGAACTAAGTGTGAGGTACTCATACGAAGGACCAAGCTTGGGAGAAGTCTGAGTACCCCATGAGCTGCTAGTGCTTCGGCCTTTGGCCTACCAGAGAGTTTCTTTTACCCTCTTATTAGTTATGGTGTGCATTAGGGACAATGCACAATTTTAAGTGTGGGGTGAGGAGGTTATCTAGGTGACTTTCTATGCTATTTTAATTGTGTTAGTTTAATCGAATAATTTTTTTTAAAAGATTGAACTTTTCCCGACGATGAATCTATTAGACAATTTTTTAAGGGATTTAAGTCTAAAGAAAGAAAAAAGAAAAAAAAAAATCTTTTGTTAGGTAGTGTAGAAATTACCCCTTAATTTTTCTTTGTGTCGCAGTTCTTTTCCATGGGTTTTGTTTGGACCAGGTGTAGCTAGTTTTTTTGGGAATAGGAGCCAATGTGCTGTGTTACGAATTGAAGCAATATCTCTTGACTTTGTTATGCCTTGAGAATAGTGAGTACTTTGGTTGTGACGCTTAGGCTTAGTTTTTGACTCTTGTAGAAGTACCTTAAATTGTATGACCTTAATATTACTTAACTGCTTTTACTAGAGTGTCTCGATGAGTCCAATCCTAAGTGAGTTATGTGCCATGTGAGTGTAAGGCTTTGTGTTATTCTGTTCATTGCATTTGATATCTAGAATTTGCCCTGTGTTTGCAAAGCGAAATAGTAGTTTTGTTCAGTCTTAGAAGTGGTATAGGTGTTTCTTGGTTGAGCCATATATATATATATATATATATGATTGTTGGATGATGATATAGAAATAGAGTCATCCGAGCCACTTAAGGAATCAAGGAATAAGGAACAAGATGCCTACATTCTAGAATTCTTCTTGCCAGAAAGTCGGGATTACACATCTTATCTAAAGGTCAAGAAGTGCAGCATACTACATTATTTTATTGGGTCAGTCAGATTCGTTCCACCACCCCAGGAGCATGATCATATAGCAGAATCAAAACTTAAGGTCCAATTCATAAGTTCAAAGTGGAGGCAGAAAGTGATTCGCGTCGTGCCGCGACATTAAATCAAGCGTTTGTTGGGAGGCAACCCAGCTTTACTATTTTTTTAATTGTATTATTTTTGTGGTGTCGATTTTTTATTTTCTAGGAGCATGGAAAGCAATGCTATTAGAAGGATGCAACAGCAAACCAGATGGTTGGAACTAAGTGTGAGGTACCCACACGAAGGACCAAACTTGGGAGAAGTTTAAGTACCCATGAGCTGCTAGTGCTTCGGCCTTTGGCCTACCATAGAATTTTTTTTACCCTCTTATTAGTTATGGTATGCATTGGGGAGAATGCACAATTTTAAGTGTGGATGAGAAAATTATCTTGATGACTTTCTATGCTATTTTAACTGTGTTAGTTTAATTGAATAATTTTTTTTAAAAAGATTGGACTTTTCTCGACGATGAATCTATTAGACAATTTCCTTGAGGGATTTAAGTCTAATGAAAAGAAAAAGAAAAGAAAAAATCCTTTTGTTAGGTGGTGTAGCAATTACCCCTTGGTTTTTCTTTATGTTGTGTTACGAATTGAAGCAATATCTCTTGAATTTGTTATGCCTTGAGAATAGTGAGTACTTTGGTTGTGACGTTTAGGCTCAGTTTTTGACTCTTGTAGAAGTACCTTAAATTGTATGACCTTAACTTTGCTTAATTGTTTTGAGTGTCTTGATGAGTCCAATCCTTAGTGAGTTATGTGTCATGTGTGTGTAAGTTTTTGTGTTATTCTGTGTGNTATATATATATATATATCGTAGTTAACTCCTTTGAGCCTGTAATCCTGTTTCTTTGGCAACCACATTACAAGCCTTACCCATTTATTTAAATTAACCATCTATTTGAACCTTTTGACCTCTCATGAGCATTTGAATTGTGATGAATTATGTAAAAGTTAAAGTATGGGTGGTGGTTTGACTTTTGAGTGGAACAAATGAAATAAGGAGAAATGTGCGCCGTTTGAAAAAAAAAATGTCAATAAAAGCCACTTGGATTGAAAGAAAAAAAGATGAATAGAAAATAGTTGTATTGTATGAAAAATAATTCTTGATGGTGGTGGGTAGTGATATACCGGTGCTTAAAGAAGTATGGGGTAATATAAATTGAAATGAAGGTGGAATTTTGGTTTGACATAAGTATGGGCTGTAGTGTTAAAGTATATGTATTAAAGTGCTTAGGGAGGTGTAGTCACTCTTATATCCAAATGTATCCTACCCATCCCGTAGCCTATATTACAATCAGTTAAAAAGTCCTACTTGATCCTTGACTGAATGAGCTCCATTAGTAGAGTAGTACATTACGGGCAAGCCTATGGTGCATCTTTTGTGGCACATGAATATCGTTTCTAAGAGTGAGTGAATTCTGTCTATCTTGAGTTCCTAATTGTTCTTGAATTTTTATTGATTGTGGAACTACTCTCTTTTGTTGTGGGAGGGCACATGATTCATGAAGGAAAGGTAATCCTTGACCTTTATGTTAGAGTTAGTGGGAGAGTTGTGAATAATGTGTGGACTTGTGAGTCAAATCTTGAGGTGAAGATGTTACGCTTTTGTGCTTAGTCTATTTTAAATATTCTTGGTGTGATGAGTTAGGAGAATTGTTTAAAAAGGTCGTGTCTATATAAAGTGTAGTTTGATTGCTCGAGGACGAGCAATGGTTTAAGTGTGGGGTATTGATGATAGGCTATAATTATGTATTTTAGTCGCTTATTACACTCTAATTTACTGCACTTTAATTGAGTTTGAGCTTTAATCGCTAGTGTTTTGCACTAATTGTGTGTTTTATGCCTTATAGAAGTGATTCCGAGCTATGTAGATGTTATGAAATGAATTCAAGTGATTTGGAGCTTTGAAGTCTGAGTAAAATCCCAAGGAATTAAGCCGGGATCGTGTACGGGGATCAACGGATGATAGTTAAGAATGAACGAAGAATCGAGCAGGCATATGGCTCACTGTCTAGTAAAATACACATAATTTTTCGTTCAGAACTCTGTGTTGGCTCCACAATATATTTTTGGAAAGCTAATTTAAAAGACTACAACTTTTATGTTTTTCTTTTTCTCAAATTCACAACATAACCGGGTGAAAAGTGTGCGACAAGTCCACGGCCGCGCAAATGGGGCAAAAAAGGTGAAAAGTGCGCATATGGCCTATAAATTAAATAAATCTGTTTAATTAAAGCGATAAATAAAAAGGACGAGTTCTTTCCATACATGCTTGTTGTGTATCGCAGGTTCCAAATACAGGTTATTGCAAACTCCAATATTTGTAACCCCTAGACGTTAGACAAGAAACATCAACATCAACATTGCACCCATCCCAATGAGATTACACTATTGCAAACTCCAACCACCATACCTTTTTGGAAGACTCAAAATCCCCAGACCCCAAGAACCAAAATCCTCCAATCCCTCCTCCTCTATATAAACCCCCAAAACCCCTTCACCCTTTCACCAACTCATAACGCAACACTCAAAAGGTTCATAAAATAAATCAAATTTCTTTATTTTTTCAAGAAAAACACCATGAAGAACCTTTTGTACTCAGTTGCCCTCTGCCTTTCCGTTCTCTTTGTTCTTGCTCAGATCAATGAAGCAGCCATTCCTTGTGACACCGTGGACATGAAGGCAGCCGCCTGTATCTCCTTTGCCACAGGGAAGGATGCAAAGCCGTCGGCGCCATGTTGCAGTGGACTGCAACAGTTGGCTCAAAGTGTGAAGTCTGTGGATGACAAGAAGGCTATCTGCAGATGCCTTAAGGCTGGTGTGAAGAACTTTGTTGGGGTACAAGACAAGTTCCTTAGCCAACTTCTCACTGCTTGTAAAATCAAAGTTGGCTTTCCTGTCTCCATGAACACCAACTGTGAAACGTGAGTATAAGTTTTATACATTGATGACCGTCTAAAGAATTTTCTAAATATGTGATTTAGATGTGGTTCTATTTTAGTTTTTTGGACTTACGTAGTACTAATATATTTATGTTGCAGGATTCGCTTCTAAGCCAAGTGCCATGCATGAAGAACTTGTGGGAAGGGTAGAAGGTAGTTAGTGAGTTGATGAATAAAACATGAGGCGACGAGGGTGTTATAGCTAGAAGTAGGAGATCATGGGCTGTGCCTCAACTTTGTAACACTCTTACTTTTGACTTCCAATGCATAATTTCAGTTCTTAATTAGCTTCAAAGTAGTAATTTTCTTTACATCTTCAGTTTTCAAGTTTTATCATGTGCTTTTAAAAAAGTGGCGATACGATTGAACTACTTGTTAGAAAATAATAATCAAAATTGGCTTTGAGGCGTGAAAATCGACTGTCCTTAAAGAGTTATCGCATGTATACTAATTTAGGGAAAATACAAAACGATTCTCTTCAGGATACAACAAAGCCTGCAATAACACTTGTGATTTTCTATCTCCACTTCGTTGGAATTCTTGTGTATTTATAAGCAACCAATAGACCCTTTCAGAAAAGATGTATTGTTTCACAAACAGACACGACTATTTATTCGAATTTTGAATTCAAAATTCAAATAAATAATTAACTCTAGGATCTCGTGCCTGTTGAGTTAATCTCGTGTCTGTTGAGTCAGTCTCGTGCCTATTGAGACAATCTCGTGCATGTTGAGTCAGTCTCGTGCCTGTTGAGACAATCTCGTGCCTGTTGAGACAAACTCGTACCTGTTGAGTCAATCTCGTGCCTGTTATGCGCTATTTCATAATGATCAGTTCCGAGGCTAACAGGCACGGTACGAGTAATAAATGTCCCACTTCCAACTTGCCAATAACAAACTATCTTACAATCCCCCACTAGTTTGTTATTTCACTTCATAACACTTGTGAATAATTGAAAGTATCTTTTACAGATTTGAACTTTCCTTTAGTGTAAGTATTTTAAAGTTTTGACGAAATTAATGGTATCTTAAGATTTGAACCACAAATCCTTGTGCCAAAACCAAAAATACCACACACACAGCGTTATCTTGTAGCTTAGAAAATCTAGTATTCACTTTAGCACGTTTACGGCCATGTGCTCATCCTGAATTCATGAATATTTACAAGATCAACCCTTTAAATCTTGCTAGAAGCGGCACCACTTCAATATTCATATA